ATGCTTTGGCATAAACTAGGCAAAGGTATAGCTAACCATCACACCTCTTTCAGCACTGAAGGACCACTATTCTTTTTGTACCTTGCTAAGTACAGAACACATTGCTATTTCTCTAGCATCTTCCGTAGACTGCTTTTCAAATGAATACACACACACACACACACACACACGATGCTTCTGACTATCCACTCCCTGCCTTGGGATTTAATCTTATGTAAACTCCATTGATAGACTTGTGATTCTTCTGAAGGTGTGATGTTATATGGGTCAAAATGAGAAACTGTCTCTAATTCATTGTTGATATGTAAAAAATGAACAAATAGAGAAATTAAGAAATGGAGAAAGAATGCAGGATTCTTCGTGGCTTTGTTATGTGAAATTAGTTATTGGGAAGTTTGCCACAAATTCCAAATTTGATGGAATTTTGTTTTGTGTTTCTTTTTCAAAGCTGTATGATTTTAACTCTTTGAAATCATGTCTGTGCATCCCTGTTTCATAGCTGCTGTCACTGGAGTTAGATTTTACATTTGACATTGGCCTGTGTAGTATACAGTAATGTAGAGGAAACAGTCATAAAAGGACATAAATATCAGAGAAGGAAGTAAAATCTTTAATCTTCCAAGCCTAAGGTCAGAGTTTTACCCCAACAAGCATCATTTTATCCACAAACATTCTTTGTAGTTCAAAGATGTCCTTGAACCTTCCTAACTTTATCTCATTTCCTTTATTCTTCTGAGTCTCTGCTTCTCTATCCTTTATACAATGAGCCACTTAGAGCCACCATATTTTCACATTTAAAAATTTTTCGTTTCTCTATTGTTGTGTAGGTGGCTTTGGCTGTGTTTAGATCCAAGTCAGGTTCCTATACACACCCTCATGCATGGCTTTTCATCCCATCCATACTTGGACATATTTTGTTTTCCATGATTCTTTGCTTGCAGATCCCAAATTAGTTTATTTACCTAGATGTGGTTTTGCTTAGGTTTATGCCTTTTCTGTCAAGCTGCTATTATGGGAAAGAAACATCCAAGCAATGTGAACTCACCAATGTAAAGAAACAAAGACACATTTGGGGCCGTGTCTCATTAGTAGGTTAGGGTCCGCTGCACCTACCCGTCTGCCAATATCTACCTGCCAATATTCCCTAGTCTTTCCTGTTTCTGAGTGCTGATTTAGATAAATGCTTTTCTAACCAAAACGAAACAGTATGGTATTTAAGTCAACCATGAAAATAAGCACTGGCATATGTGTCCCCATCCGAAAGAAATCAGGACAGGCTTGATTTGAATCAGGCAGGAGGCCAGAAGCAATCAGGTTCCCAAAGTCTGTGACTCCACCAAAAGGAGAGATCAGGCCTCACCTCCCCCAACTTCCAGATTGCAGAAGATCTTAGGGACTCAGAATTAACATGGGCTCCCAGATTGCCAATAAAACATGATTTTGAACAAAAGGAGGGAGGGAGAAAATCTAGGCCTTTCTTTGGTAATCTAGGCCTTTCTTTTAAAGCTCTGATACAGGGGATGATGACTGGGTCCTCACTCGCCCCCACTCACACACACCACATCTTCCTGTAGAGTCATGTTACACACCCAGAGCACCATGCAATTTGTGCAGGACACACACTAGACAGTTTGAACTGACCTAGAGGAATCTGATAGCCTGGTGAAGATTTGCTATCCTAAATGGCCTATCATGGAAGCCCAGCATGGTACCTGCAATCCCGAATTGGCACTGGTGGCCCTGGGAATGGGCCCACTAATACATGGGATCTTCAAAAAGTTCATGAAAAATGCATATTATTAAAAATGCATGGATTTCAAAATTTTTTGCACCTAAATATAAATTTACATTAATTCCATTTTTCCTTTTTTTTTAAGATTTATTTTATTTATTTGAAAGACAGATTTAGAGAAAGAGGTAGAGAGAGCGAGCGACAGGTCCTCCATCCACTGGTTCACTCTCCAAATGGCCTCAACAGCCAGAGCCAAGCTAAGACAATCCAGAGCCAGAAGCTTTGTCCGGCTCTCCCACGTGGGTATAGGGGTCCAAGGATTTGGGACTTTGACCATCCTCCACTGCTTCCCCAGGAGCATTAATAGGGAGCTGGATCAGAAGTGGAGCAGCCAAGACTAAAATTGGCACCTACATGGGATGCCAAGGCTGCAGGCTAGGGCTTTAACCCTCAATGCCACAGCGCCAGCCCCATTTTTTTAAAGAAAAATTATTTGAAAGGCAGAATTATAGATAGGCAAAGGCAAAGGCAGAGACAGAGAGAAAGAGCTCTTCAATCCACTGGTTCACTCACCAGATAGCCACAACGGCCAGAGCTGCACAGATCCGAAGCCAGAAGCTTCTTCCAGGTCTTCCATGCAAGTGCAGAGGCCCAGGGACTTGGGCCATCCTCCACTACTTTCCCAGGCCATAGCAGAGAACTTGATCAGAAGTAGAGCAGCCAGGACTTGAGCTGGCACTCATATGGGATGCCAGCACTGCATGCAGCTGTTTTACCCACTATGCCACAGTGCTGGCCCTGTCCCGTTTTGTTTTGTTTTGAAATTCCATTTTTCTAAGAACTGTTTCAAGTCCCTTTATATAGGTTTGTATGTTTCAAATGTAACTGACACCAAAGGTTCCTGGGGAGGATCCATTTTACTACCCCTCTTTACCAAACAGGCTCTCCACCTTTGCTAGCTTAAATTCACTTCCTAGACCCTCGGCTCCAGCAGTCCATTCTCCACACCTCCATTCAGAAAGGCCACGTTGTCATCTGGGTGTTTCCCCAACCTGGAAAACCCTCTCTTCCTGCATTTACTTGCACCTCACACCCATCATGAATGCTGCCTGCGCCTCTCTAACCCACAGAGGATCCCCTCCCAATTCTCCTCGCCCTCTGGGTCAGTTTTACAGTGTTGGCCACTTAGTCAACTGACAAATGTGTCAAGCACCCACTGTTAACATGATTCTGAAACAGGTACCTACAAACCTAATTGTTTCTTATGAGTTCATCTTATTTCCCCAAATAGAATATAAGCTCCTTTTAAGACAGGACAGTATCTCATTTTTAAATCCTACATATTAACTGGCATATAACTTTTACAAAGTGATTCTCAAATTGATTTAAAAAAAAAAAACAGTCACTAGCTGATTTTCTTACAAAGAAAATTCTTCCCTCAATGGTCAAGGACCATGTATTTTTTTTCAAAAATGCATTTGTTGTGTGATGGCAGGTGTATCACAAATCGCATTACAGAACTAATAGATATTTTAAATGAATATTTTCAAAGGCAGAATTTAATGTTGCTAACAAGAGTTATTACCTTTGGAAATCTTGACTAGTTCTAGATAGGAGAAGAGCAAAAAAAATACTGTAGCCAATGCATAGTGGTTCAACACTGAACTTTACATTCGTTGATGGATTTCTTAGAAAACTTCTGGACTGAGATTCAGGCAAAGGAAGTGAATGTGTTTTGTTTTTTTGTTTTGGTTTTTTTTTTTTTTTTTTTTGACAGGCAGAGTGGACAGTGAGAGAGAGAGACAGAGAGAAAGGTCTTCCTTTTTGCCATTGGTTCACCCTCCAATGGTTGCCGCAGCCGGCACATCGCGCTGATCTGAAGCCAGGAGCCAGGTGCTTTTCCTGGTCTCCCATGGGGTGCAGGGCCCAAGCACTTGGGCCATCCTCCACTGCACTCCCTGGCCACAGCAGAGAGCTGGCCTGGAAGAGGGGCAACCGGGACAGAATCTAGCACCCCAACCGGGACTAGAACCCGGTGTGCCAGCGCCACAAGGCGGAGGATTAGCCTAGTGAGCCATGGCGCCGGCCATGAATGTGGTTTTTAGCAGTACTTTTCTCTGGACTGTTCTTTGGTCAAAATACCTGACTTCCTGCTGCAGGTATTGTTGAGGGCTGGGCTTAGGAGAACAAATTCTGCATGCTCAGTGCTAAGACAGCTCCTCCCACCATTGCTACCTTTTCTGATAACAAGAAAATCATGGAAGATGATTTCATTTTCTCAGTTCCTTGCCCGCCCTTGAGTTACCTGTGTATTTAATCACCATGTCCTACAGTTCACAGTCACCCACTACATAATTCCTCTCATTTGGGTCCTGTCCCCTTGATCAGCAGGCCAAAAATGCAGACTCGGGCTTTTCACACTACAAAACCAAGAAGTACTATCTTTAAATTAAAATAAAACCACTGTAGAAATGTGAAACTGAGACATGTAAGCACATTGGTGGAGATCTGAAGTGGCAAGTGAAAATGATACCATTAATGGTCATGGCAGTAGATGGAAAGGAAATTACACACAATTTTGTTTTCTGTTTGTAGCCCCAGTCAAGCATTTACCAAAAGAATTAAACTGATTGGCCTTCCAAAGTCCAAGTCAAATCTTGAAAGCATGAGTGTATTTCCCAAGCAGTAGGAAAGAGAACGTAATGAACAATAACCCGCATTCTTCTCTTAGTTTCTACAGCACATTAACTTCAAAAGTCATGTCCAACCTGTTACGTCCTGGTCCTCGCTAAATTGTAAAATTTCTCCACCATCTCACACTCTTTTTTTTCCTTCTTTCAAACGATTTATTCATTTGAAATGCAGAGAGATAGGGGTTGGGAATGAGGGGGAAACAGATCTTCCATCCACTGGTTCACTCCCCAAGTGGCCCATAGGAGCCACATCTGGGCCCTGCCAAAGCCAGGAGCTCCTTCCTGGTCTCCCACATGGATGGCAGGGGCCCAAGTATTTGAACCATCTTCCACTGCCTTCCCAGGTACATTAGCAGGAAGTTGGATTGGAAGTGGAGTATCCAGGACTGGAGCCAGCACCTCAATATGGGACACCTGTTTCCTAACAACTCTTAAAAACCAAAGAGCTTTAGGAGCAGAGGGCAAACCGTGTCTCAAGGAGACACTTCTCAGCTTGCACAGGACAAGCTGTCATGACAGAGCAAGACAGATGTTTTGTCGAGTTGTCTGACTTCACGTTCACTCTTTCCTTGTAGCTACCTCATCCTTGAACTCCCAACTCCAGCAGCTTCAGCAGCTCCAGCAGCTCCAGCAGCAGCAGCAACAGCAGCAGCAGCAGCCACCTCTACCACCACCCAGCCAGCACCCACAGCCCGCCCCGCAGGCGACCTCGCAGTCACAGCAGTCACAGCCCCAGGCCACCCCACCCCAGCAGCCACCACCAGCCTCCCAGCAGCTGCCAGTTCCTCCATCTCAGCTACAACAGGCGCCTCAAGCCCAGCAGCACCAAGCCCTCTCCCACTCCCAGAACCAGAACCAACCATCTCCAACCCAGCAGAGTTCAAGCCCCGCTCAGAAACCCAGTCAGTCTCCAGGACATGGCCTTCCGTCTCCGCTCACGCCGCCCAATCCTCTGCAGGTATGCTCCCCATCCAGGCCAGGGGCACAGAAGACCCTCTGTGGGCTTGTGCCCTCCCCAGAGGCAGAGGGCCAGCAAAACTTAGCATCCAGTTCTGCAGCATCTAATTCAAATTGATCTCTTAGAGGCAGGGAAGAGGAAGCAAATGGCTAGCAGCTGGGGATACATGTAAACGAAACAAATAGAAGCCCATTGATGTTGCCTCCAAAGGATAAATGTTATCTGTTTCCCTCTGTGAGAGGCCAGCACTCTAAGTGCACTTGTAGCCTGTAATAATTCCATTTTATGATACTTTTTGAAGGCAGCAAAGATAGCATCCAATTAAAATTATTACTAGCACAGTTTTGTAGCCCCGTAGAGAACGGCATCTACTGTCCATGAGGCATGGTGGTTATTTCTCTATATTATGAATACAACAGTGTCTTACCTTAAGTACTTTGTGCTCTTTTGTTTTTATTTTTCTAAAGACTCTCTGGGGTTAGAAGCACAAAGAAATTTAGCCCCAGTCTTATGTCCCAGATTCCAACCATTACTCCATAGACTAACAAGTACTCTAAATTCATGCCGAGCACCTCAGAAAATATGCATCTTTATAAAATAATAAAGCTTCTATATATTTACTTTATGACCGTGAGGCTGAACACATCAAAAACGGGTCCTTCAGGTTAGTGGTGAAAACCCATCTTTAACCTACTATCGTTGAGGAGGGATGGATAGGAGCATTCAGGAATAGATAACTTTGAACTTCAGAAATCTGTTCTTGACTTAGAGGCCTTTAAAATAAATTAGCTTCCACACACGATGACTGTGATGGAAACACATTAAATCAGAAATTAATAGCTTAGCTAGGCCATCCGTTCTTTGACTTGTGTAAGTGTTTTCCCCTCTGAGATTTCAGGCGACTTAGTTTATTTGTAATATGGTACAAAGTCGGACGGAGCAAGCAACCTATGCCCTCATTTCAAATTCCAGCTCACACCCTCCTTAGTGTTAAGTGCCCCTCAGTCAAGCCAACCCTCCCCTGTCTGAGGATGACATGAGCAATGGCATCCTTGGCCCCTAAACAGCAAAGCACACAAAGTCAGTGGTAGGTTGGTATCCAGAGAGTAAGGCAGTTGGACTTGGGACTTAATAGTTTAGAACAGATTTAGTTTATTGTCCTACAGATAGATGCCTCTCCTTGAAGTTGGGTTCTCAGCATGACCCAAAGCCTTCCTGGAAATAAAAACATTTGGGGAGATGAATAATCATGTTTTCCCCAGCACTCAGGCCAGGGCTACTTGTATTCTGAACGTTCTCCTGAATTAGGTTTGGTGATGTCATTTTTATAACTCTTAAAAAGGTGAGACAAGCTAGTATGTTTGAGATGGGATGGAAATGAACAGAGGCAAAAACAAAAATCTTCATTGTACTGTTGACATCTAGGGAGAAGGTAGGTATTATCAAATTTACGAAGTGCATGAGCACAGTAATCCTAGTGTTTTCAGCATTTGGAACTCAACTCTTATTATCCCCAAGAATGAGTTCATTGCTTTTTCAGCATCATTAAATTAGATGTTGCCATACATTAAACATTTCCTCTGTCTCAGGCACCATAACAGGTTAAATTACCAAAGAAAAAATTTTCCCGACCTGAAGAATGAAATTACTTTGCCCTGCTCTGGTTGGTGTAGAGAATTCTTTCTCGCTAAGTGAAAGCTTGGAGGGAGCTCTGTGGACATCAGCCTTCCTTGAATACTGTCAGCATCTTATAAATCTCTACTGGCCAGTGAAATCACAGTGTAGACAAACCCCATTGACTGATGGCTGGCAGGGCTATGGATGGATGAGGTGAACAGTTCGTCTCATGGAAATAAATTCTCTTAAGGGAATTTCTAAAAGTTGTCCTAACAGACTCCCAGGGAAATCCGAGGACTGTTTTGTTTTCACAATAAATGAAGGCTCAGAGCCACTAATCTTGCTTTATAACCCCAAGAGATTAGTTTTTGCTGTTGAGGTTTGAACTTATAAACTTAATATATTGAGTGTGGTTATGGATATAGAGTGGATACTGTTCTAGCTTCTTCTAGTGGACCTAATGGACGACCACAAAAGGAGTGAATTGGTGCAAATTGTTAAAAACATCACTGGGCACATAAAGAAATAATTTTGAAAAAAATCTATGTCAGTAAGGATAAAAGAACTATTTCCTTTACAATAGGAATGTGTAAAGGAAATGCGGAATCTTGTGGAATAAAACTTTTCTGTGCTAGCCGCAACATTTTTGAGTTTGTGGGACATGGGATATTTGAGCCTTATAAGAAGACAATTACTAAAAGAACTGCAAAGATATTTAACTCTCTAAGGTAATGATCTGTATGAACGAGAATAAAATATTTTTGTTTGAGGATTATTAAGGGAATAAAGATCAACTAAATTCTTATTCGACAGCCCAAATTTCATTTTACAGTTATTTTCATGTGGGCTTTCACATTTTACATTATTTAAAATCTGTCTGAGAGATATTAGTTTAGAACTATGCAATGAAGAATATCCAAGAAAGCCAATAAATCACAAGATTTTTAGGAAAAAGAGAAAACTTTGGAGAATGACAATTATTTCTAAACTGTACAGGTGCTGTCATGTCTTCAGAGAAAAAATAATAAATGAAAGTAGTTTCTATAGGTATATTTGGATGAGGTCATTTCTCTAGTTGGAAAAAAATTAATAGTGCTGGCAGGAAGTAAGACTCAAGACAAAAATTCTCCAAATAACTCCTGTTGGGTTCCTCTGTAATATTGCAGTGTGATTTTATTTAACCCTTCCACTCAATTCCATGGAATGGATTGCATTTACAAAGCTAGGTTGTTGCTTCAAGACAGATGTGAGTCGAAACATTATCAGAGAAGCCCAGAGAGAGGAATGACTTTGCTCATTCATTTGGATCACACTGGGTTATGGGAGGTCCAGTAGCCTAGAGTAGGTGCCAGGATTGGCCTCGGCATGGCTGTTTTTACATTCCACATTGAAGCAAGACAAGTCCCCTGCCCTACACACACACAGCTTCATTCTTTCCCTGGAGGTATAAAGAGAGCAGTTCTAAGCAGAGTGTGAATCCAAAAGTGTTCAGGGGCCAGGCAAATAGAAAGGCTTGGGCATACAACCCCAAAACCAAACTTTGGAAACAGTATGTGGGATGAGCAAAATGCACCTGTGAGCTGCATCCAGCCTCTGGGTTCCAGGGTGAATGTGGGTCTGGACTCCTGTGTTCTGCTCTAACCCTCTGGCCACAAGCTGTGCCAGAGTGTGAAGTTAGAAATACAGCATGTGCTGATAAGGAGATCAGAGGCACACACAAAGCAAGCTTGCTGGGAACAACACAAGATCTAAGCCATCCTGGGTAGGAGAAAAAGCAATGAACAATTTTAATTTCAGAATATATAAAGGCCCCATAAGTATAAAAATGGTGAATGAATAAATGCTGCCTCTCTGTGATTTAGAGATGGCTTTTCTTGAAAGCTAGCTGAGTGGTGTGGAGGTGGACTGGGCATGGCTGGTGCCTGGGCATGGTGTGTGGGAGGAGGGCAACTTGAGGGTTCACGCCTTGTTCTTGATCTCACACTGTCTCCAACTAACTCGTAACTTTAAACAAGTGAGTTTAGTTCTCTGGACTTCACTTTAGTAATCTGTTAAGTGTGTGGCCTGAATGATTGCTAAGGGGTTTTTCAGGCCCTGGAATCTACGATCTAAATATTATTCAGCCTCTGGAATTTTATTGGTTGTTGAAACCCTGATGGTTTTGGAGATTCTCTGAGTATTCTTCAAGGTCAGGTTAATTTCTTCCCACTCAGCTGGGTGGCAGAGTGGAAAGAAAGTGGGGGACAAACATAAGTGGGATAATGATAGCAGAAGCAGATTTTATCCTAGCCAGAGAGTCCAAATTAAAGTCAAGTTTTCATCCTCAGAGAGTCACCGCCATAAGCTCTGATCCCAGATTGCTTTTCCACACCTATACATTAGAGGAGCTTAAGAAACCAAATGCTGCATTTAACCTTGGCCTTCTGCTTACCATCGTGCGTGGCAGGAAGCAGGATAATCTTCTCCTTTTCTTGTTGTATTGCACATTTTAATACAAAACAGAGGGGGAGAGAGATCCATGAAAATAGAGAAAACAGTATCTGTGCTTACGTGAGGAATGTGGGGCACGGTCACCTCCTTGGAGGTGAAGTTGCTCGACAGAGTGTGAACTCTAGTCTGCTTCATGCATTTGCTGATGTAGAAGTCTAATTACCACTAACGGACAATGGAGTAAAACCACATTGCAATTTCACCTCCATTATGTGGGGGGCACAGCCTTCCCATCTTATTTGGGGTGTTTTTCCACTGGCAAACTTAGCACGAATTTCCCAGGTGTGTCTCTGATGGGACAAGGTGGTACACTTACATTTGTTAAAACAAAGAGTCCAAACCCCTGAGGATTACTTAGACCTAAATGACTTTTATCCTGTTTAAATCCGATGGTCTCCAATCATGGATTGCCCACTATAGAAAAGGGCTGGGGTCTGGGGCCAAACCTCCTCCCCTCCCAGCAAAGCGTTTTAATCAATTTAATGAGATGAGATATTAATCAAGGCCCCGTGAATCTGAGTCTTTCCATCTGTAAAGGAAGAGTAAAACTAAATTCTCTGGAGAATTCCTTCAGTTCTATTTGCAGTTTTATGTTACAAACCCCTAAAAGAAATAGTGACAGGTGATCTAGGCAGGCACACTTGTAATTCCTCCATGTGGCCATGTGAGTTTTAACAGCACTCAGCTATCTGTACTTCTAACCAGGGCTGAGCCACCGTGTGGAGGAGTTCTCCTGGCCACAACTGGGACTCAAGTGGGCTGAGCCACTCATCTCAGATGCAGAATTTAAGGGTACGTGCAGGCAAAGCATGCAGTGATCAAGATAGATAATATTTTAATGCAGCATTGCAGCATTTTTAAAACTCAAAATGAATACCAAAAATCTATCCTCA